ACACACACACACACACACACACACACACACACACACACACACACACACACACCTGGAAACATAGTTGGCTTCCAACTCTATCTTCATTCATCCCACATTCCATATACTGTCAAAGGCATTTCCGAAATCCAAGGGTGTATCTTCCCTGATGTGCTCTTGATCTGACTCCACAGTGACTCTCTACAAGGCAAACAAGGTACCCAGGTTTAGAGCCAGCCATTAAAAATGGCCAGTGCAGGACTTCTGTCTCCTTGTTGTGGATTGTAATGTCCTTCCTGATCATCTCCTGGACCACAGTAACCTTCACCAAGATCACCACTGTCTTAGTCTGAGATTAGAGCCAGGTCCCAGTGTGGGTTTGGTTATTAATACAGAAAGTAAGACACCATGCGTTGGAGTCATAATTCTTTCCTCTCCAGCCCCAAAACCGCCTAGTCCTGAGCTTCCAAGATTTTCAAGGTGGCACACTGTGCAAGACTTCAGCAAAGGTATAGAGGGAGGCCAGCTTTGAGTAGCAGAGGTGAACAGAGAGGCCACAGAAAAGATAATTCACTGAGCCTGGGCAGAAATGGATCTGGGGTGGCAGGAACCAGTGTCCCCCACAGGCCCGTGGTACCTGTCAGAAGGAAGGGGCATCTTGAACCCTTCAAGAGAAGCAGGGTGAATTCCAGGCCTGAACCCCAGCACCAGGAAGCAGGGAGGTGATCTTATAGCTGGTAAATGGAAGGACTAAAGGCCTAGCTAAAATCCCTGACTTCTGGCCCCAAGGGACTGGGGGTGGGGGTCCCCGGTGACCACAGGAATGTGAAGGTCCTGAGGTGTCTGGAGTTGGATTCCCAGGTATCCACTGGGCAAGCAGAATAAATCTGACTCAAGTGGTAAAGGTGTGTGTGTGACCACGTAGTCTAAAGTCATTCAGAAAACCCACAGCCACATCTGTTCTTGTCGTAAGACACTTTCTTCTCAGTCACACACCAGTATCTGGGAGAGCATTTCGCTCTGCATTTCCTCATGCTTACTGTTTCTCTTGACCTACCAAACCAGTTCCCTAATTCATGAGCATCCTAATTATCAGTCCTTCTAGAAGCTCTTCCTCCGAGGTTCATGAAAGCTTCAATTTGGGCTGCCGTACTCCAGTTGTTAATAACAGATAATCTGGCTGGGCAAAGGGCAGAGGGCAGGGCTTGTTTGAATGTGCTGCCATGGGCTGCCTTCCCCACTGCTGACACGCTGATCTGTCAGCTCTCTCCCACGGTGCATTCAGCCTCAGGAATTTATCTAACTGCGGTGATATCTGTCCCACATCTCTGCCTCGTTCATAAGGATGAATTGTCAAATGCCTACCCAAACCGTAAACTCACTCCATCTACTACAGGTTCCTAATCCATCAGCACGGTAACCTGGCAGAAGAGAAATGTAAGCAGCAGAGGATAGAGGGAAATGAGGTTAATGTGGTCTGGCCCCGCTGGCTCTGAATGGTCCCCACCGCCTTTCCTAAGGGCCCCTGTCCTAGTTAGGGTTACCATTGCTGTGACCAAAGCACTTTGGTGAGGAAAGGATTTACTTGGCCTGCACTTTCACATTGCTTTTCATCCCTGGAAGACAGAACAGGAACTCACAGGGCAGGAATCTGGGGGCAGGAGCTGAGGCAGAGGCCATGGAGGGGTGCTGCTTACTGGCTTGCTCCTCACAGCTTTCTCAGCCTGCTTTCTTATAGAACCCAGGACCACTGCCCAGATATGGCACCACAGTGAACTGGGCCCTCCCATATCAATCACTAATTGAACAGAAAATGTTCTATAGCCTTGCCTACAGCCCAGCTATATGGAGGGATTTTCTCAGTTGAGGCTTTCTTCTTTCCAATGACTCTAGCTTGTGTCAAGTTAGAACCAATAAAACCAGACAAGACAAGCCATCAACCCTGGTCAAACTGTACCCAAATTCATCGCTGGTAACAAAGTACCCCTCCACCACACTGCACTGTCCCAAAGTCCTGGAATGAGTTTTCGTCCTGGAGACAGGGTTTCACTGTGTATCCCTGGCTGGCCTCAAACTCCCAGAGTTCCAGCAGCTGTCTCCCGAGTACTGCACCCCCATGCCTGGCACTCCCTGAAGTCTCTGCACAACCCACAGTAAGAGCAGGAAGAAAGCAAAGAAACACGAAGCTGCTCATGAATACTGTTTATTTTAATTAACAAATCTATAGGAAACTTTCATTGAATCAGGAGACAGAATACAAATTATGGTGGCCTGTATAAAAAATGTGGCCCCAAATATGGCCTTTGGGGATCATATATAAAAATAGACATTAAAACCTGCACCCAACAAGGTGTAGCAGCTGACCCAGTTTTGAGAGGGTAGTCATGTGTCAGGCCTGGCTTGTGGCCCTGAGAGCCGCTGGCCATCCAGGCTCCAGGTAACAATGGTCATTCCCAACAGAGGTCATAGGGGCTTCTCCAAAGGCAGGACACCCAAAACCACCACATGCCACAAACCTGGCATGCTGGGGAGAACAGGAAAGGAGCACCCCTTCCCTAGGTTTCCGGTCCCTGATCCAAGCTCAAGGACCCCAGCTCTCTGGTAAACAAACCACACTGACTACAGAGGAACTCTGGGCAGTTTTTAAATACGTTTTTTCCCAAGGAAATGACCCAGTGCTAACTCAAGGTGGTTTTCTGCAGGCCAAGAACCTGTAGTACCCTCCAGGACAGCTGGTCACAGAATAAAGCTCACTGAGGACGGTGTGGTCATCTCAGCACAAGGTGTCATACTTCGAAGGGTACAACATCCTTTGGATGTGATCTCACTGAAGCCACCCTCTGGACAAGACAGGCAACAGAGCACAAGGAGAGGAGGGATGTATTTCATAGACCTTTCACTAGCAAGGTCTCTCGATCTAGCAGAGTGGGGCCAGGACTGTTGTCCGTTGGCTTGTACATTCAGCAAGCCCTGCTCTGGCTCTGTGGACAGAGAAGTACCCTGACTCATGTGTTACTGCTGCCCAGTCTGGACACTACCGCTTTGGGTCCCAATAATTACTGCCATCCTAGTGGACTCTACAGGGGAAGCAGCCCAGCCCCACCACAACACACGAAAGCTTTTCTCAGGTGCCCCAGGCTTGATCGTTTTGCTGCGGGGTAAACTGCCACTTTCCTCAACAGTGGTGATGAGTGAAAGGAGAGATGAAGGACAGAAATGTCTGAACCACCACCTACACAAAAAGCCGGGAGCTTTATGTTAATGAGGGACTTTCTCTAGCAGGCAGCACATTCATTTGGGCGACAGGTGCTCCCTGCAAATGGGGCCTGGCACCAATTACTGCCACTTCCTACGTGCAAAGGTAACAGGACAGTACAGTGTCTCATCACTACGGCCCTTTTGGGACACAGCTCCTTCACAGACTGTTAGGGTATACCGTCTAGAACAGGGGAAGATGGACCTTTCATCCTAAAGTGGCCTGACAACACCCTCTAGTGGAGATTATAAATAACACAAGGACAGTGTGTCCAATCCATCTACGGACACTAGAACAGTTTCATATCTTTACAAAGATAATCCCAACACACAAGGGCAGAAGCTCATCCACTCTGCTGAGCACCCACCCTGGCCAGTGGCACCCCTGCTCAGTCTCTGGATTCTACCCATCCTAAGGAGGGACTGTGCTGTGGTGAGAGCTGCTGGTCTCCTCAGAGCCTGGGCAGACTGCCTGCTGGTGCCAGGATGATGCCAAAGACATAGAAAAGCCCCAGCAGGAGGTTGAGTTTGGCTGTCCTCTGGGGCAGCTTGTTGAAAGCCTGGCTGCGGAACTGCCTCTCAAGGGAGAAGGCCATGGGGATGGTGAGCAGGGGCAGTGCCAGGCTTATGCTGCAGTGTGTGGCCAGGATGCTGAAGATCAGGTAGGGCAGAAAGAGCAGCGTGTTGTAGAGCACATAGGAGAAGGTGGGCCCGATGAGGATCGCCAGCGTGACGATGCCAGCCTGCCGGTCAGACTCTATGTCCCTGGTGTTGTTGGAATGGAGAATGGCTTCTGTGCTGAGGGCCAGAGGGATGGCGTAGACTAGAGGGAAGATGGCCAAGGACCCCACCTGGACAGCATAGGCGAACATCACAGCCAGTGGGCCAAAAGTGATGAGGATGATGAGGTCTCCCAGTGCCACATATTTGAATCCAATTCCTGCAGCCAGAAAAGTCAAAGAGGAGCTGTAAATCAAGGGCTGGACACTGAGGGGCTATCCAAGAGATGACCATGTCTGGTGAGAGGCTATGAGGGTGAGCAATTACTGGGGTACCCCCAAATTATCCTATACAAACTCAGATTTCTAAGTCCAGCTGCCAACTACCTGTCAAGTTTGCCTTTTAGGATTTGTCCCCAAACCCAGTGTTTGCCACAAAGGAGTTCTACTCTGAACTCCTGGTTCACAGAGATGACATGAGCCTAAGAACATGAAAGGTTTTGTGATCTGGGGCAGAAAACCCTTCTCCGGCCCTGCAAGGCAGAACGGACATCTTGCCTTCTTCCTCCCAAGTCTTCTGGTTTGAAAGACCCCAGTGAAAGATTATGGTATTTCACAACCTATACACTTCCACTGAAAAAAACTGTCACCCATATAATGAAAATAGTGTGCCCTCTGTGGTTCCCACCAATGAAAACCAAATTATCCCCACTTACCATTCTGCTCCAAAGCCTGCCTATTCTCTCCCTCCAGCCCCTCCCTCCAGCCCCAGCGCCACACCACATCCCACTGCCTTCCAGCCAGGTCCAAGTCAGGGTCATCTTACTCTGGAATACTGCAACACCCTCCTAGTGATTTTTGATCTTGTAAACTCCCTACCCCATCCCAGCATGCCTTTAAAACTCTGGGTTTGCCCTTTCCGAACACTCAAACCCTCAACAACCCCGTGTCCTTGGAATAACAGTCCTAACACCGGGCTTGTCACAACTGGCTCCCCAGTCCTTGGCACTAGGGCTGAACTGAACACAGAGCCACAGTAACAAACACTTCCTACTAGAACTGAGGTCAGGAAAACTTCACACTCAAATTGGAACAGGTAAAGCCATGTGCAATGGCAAAAGCTGGCCAGAGAGGGGACCCAAACTTTTATTGCTACAGATACCTGCAGAGCCTTTGGATCTACTGATGCTATACAGCTTGGCCTTGGGGTATCTGTCTAAAATGACAGGTGACGATGGTCTACAGGGGATCTACAACCACACAGACCAAGGACCAAGATCTGGCCAATTTCAGCTTCCTAGAAGCAGCTGGCACTAAATGAGTACCCCTGGTTTTTGAATGCAGCATCCCCATAAGGCACCACAGGCAAGACTCCTCAGCCCCCCAGCACCAGGAAGCCAATTCCTCACAGCAAAAGGTGTGTCCTCAGGCTTGGTTATCTGAGGACATGGTTATCTGAGAGTGCTGGGATTACAGGCATGCACCCCCACACCCGGCTAACAAAGTTAAGAAGGATGCTCATGGCTCTGGGCCTGAAGAGCTAAAAGGATGAAGTTATGAGTGAGCTAGGGATGCAGCTCAGTGGAGTGCCTGCCTAGCATGTGAGGGGCCCTGTGTTCCAAACCACACACACACACACACACACACCAAGAGAGAGGAGGGAAAAAATGTCACTGTGTAAAATGAGAAAGCTGTAGGTGTCTTTGAAGAGATAACCAGGAATCTGACTTCACATGGTCTAGGAATGACTAAAAGCTGATGAGCAGGGGTATGGCTCACAGGTAAGGTACACACTTGCCATGCTGTACGAGTGAGGAGGGCACTGGGGGCTGTCTAGACCCCACAGTCTCCCAAGAGAAGTCAGATGCGAGCCTGGAGTTTATAAGCCTTGAGCTTAAGAGTTACCACTTAACAAGTGAGACTGGTTATAATCAACAAAGGAGCCATGGGAGAGAAAAAGGGACCTCTGGACTGAGCTCCAGAGGCTGAGGAGCGGGGAGTAGCCAACAGAGATGGAGATGGACAACCAGCCTGTTCTGAGTGTGGCCCCTGCTGACCTCTCCCTGGGCCTCATTCTTCCTCTGGACTACACGGGACCCCAGACCCTTACACTTGTTGGCCCTTCAATCAGAGTGCAATCAGACTCTAATTCTAACCGATGGCCAGTTCCATTTCCTTCAAGTCTTCGTTAAAATATCACTTAACTAAGGAGAACACCATGGTATAGAGAAGAACTCAGGAGGTTTGTGTGTTGAGGAGTTAGTCCCTGGGCTGGTAGAATATTTTATTTTCAACATTTATTTTTATTTACATGTATGCATCTGTGCCTCGAACTTACGAAGTTCTGCCTGCCTCTGCCTCAAACTTTTTTTGTTTTTACGAGACAGAGGTTCTCTGGGTAGTCCTGGCTGTCCTGGAACTAAGTCTGTAGGCCAGGCTGGCCTCAAACTAAAGATCCGCTTGCCTCTGCCTCCTGAGTGCTGGGATTAAAAGCGTATTACACCACCACCTGGCTGCCTCAAACTCTTTTAATAGCCCTAAATTTTCAACTGCCTTCTAGGTAACTACAGTCTCTTGATTTTCTTCCCACACCTTCAGTCTCCTTTACATGGTCCTCATCTTCCCCTTCTCTGAGGTAAGAGGGCTGTAGGGCCTAGAAATGGTCCTCTGTGCTTTTTACCAACACTCTCTCTTAACAATCTCACCAACCCTATAATGTTATCTATAAGAGGAGCCCAGGCCTCCTCTATAACCTGCTTTACTCAATATCTGAGCTTGGAGCTCTTAGCAGATGTTAAGATGTCCAGAGTTGATCTCCCAACCTCCCTCCAAAAACCTTGCCTTAGCCTTAGCATGCCTGTGATCCCAGCACTTGGGGAGGCAGGGGCAAGCGGACCTTTGTGAGTTTGCAGCCAGCCTGGTCTACAAAGCAAGTCCAGGACAGCCAGGGCTACAGAGAAACCCTATCTCGAAAAAAAAAAAAAAAAAAAAAAAAAAAGGGAGGGGGGCTATCTGGAGAGATGGCTCAGAGGTTAAGAGCACTGACTGCTATTCCAGAGGTCCTGAGTTCAATTCCCAGTGACCACATGGTAACTCACTACCATCTACAATGAGAGCTGGTGCCCTCTTCTGGCATGCAGGTAGATGTACATGCAGACAGAACATTGTATACATAATAAATAAATAAATTAAAAAAGCAAAAACGTCCTTCTCCCCTGTTTGCCATGATGACATCAACTGTAGCTTTCCAGTGGCTCAGACCAAACCTTCTGAGTCAAACTTAGTTCTGTGGTATCTCTACCTAAGATCCAGTCCACTGGGACACACTGTCTACCTCCAAAGCCCATTCAGAACCTGACTTACCTCTCTGTGGCCGCCAGCCTAATGCAAGCCACCAAACATCTTGCCTGGGCTGCTCAGGGGCCTCTGATGTGGTCCTTGTTCTTCCACCCTTGCGCACCTGCTTACCTATTCCCAATACATAGTCGGAGAGATTCTTTCAAAGCATGACATCACATTGCTATTCAAAACCCAGCAATGGCTCCGGGCACTTCAGAGTAAAGAAGTCCATGGGCTGGAGAGATGGCTCAGAGGTTAAGAGCACTGGCTGCTCTTCCTAGGGTCCTGAGTTCAATTCCCAGCAACCACATGGTGGCTCACAACCATCTATACTGAGATTTGGCACCCTCTTCTGGCATGCATGGGCACGTGCAGACAGAATACTGTATAAAAAATAATAAATCTTAAAAAAAAAAAAAAAAAAGAAGTCCAGAGGCCCAAAGGGCCTAGGAAGTTTCCAAGCCTCCCCCAACTCCCCAGACACAGCTCTCTTCCTCTGCCTCCCTGGACTACTTCCCTCATGCACAGGGCGGACTTCTTCCTAGTCCTCAAAGCTACCAAGCACTTCGGCACTTGGTTACCATGTCTACACACGATCTCTCATTGCCTTCAGTCTAGCTCAGGTGTTACCTCTTTAGTGAGGCCCACGACAACCAAACTATTTAAAATAGCCATTAGGGTCCCCTTCTCTGGCCCAGCCACAGCACCTCTTACACCCAGTTATGCACTGCATCACACGTCAGTTAATGACGGACCAGACAAGTGATTAAAGATTACAAGGGAAGATAACGACAAAAAGATTAAATGCCTCTGTCAATGGTTTCCATAGTTATTATATGCTGTCTTATTATATATTAACTTTTGGTTTGAGTGTGTGCATATACATGTGACAAGACAGATTTGAGGACAACTTTTGGAAGCTGGTCCTCTCCTTCTACCTTCTACCAGGCTGGGCAGTAGGTGACTTTATCTGTTGAGCTATTTTGCCAGTCCACGCTATGGTTTTGGTTTTTGTGGGGTTTTTTCTTCCGATGTTTTTAAGATTTTATTGATATATGTGTGTTTCTCTGTGTGTATGTGCCCATGTGTGGTAATGCCCAATGAGGCTCCAAGAGGGTGTTAGAGCTCATGAAGCTGAAGTTAAACGTGTTTGTGTGGCACTCAACATGGGGGCTTGGAATTGAACATGGGCCCTCTGCAAGAATAGCAAAAGATCTTTTCTTTTCTTTTTAATGCAGTTGAGCTCCCCACATTTAGGAAAGTCGCGGGGGTCAGCACATTAGAGTGCAGTGGCTAAGCCTGGGCTTGGGAAAAGCACCTTTGAGATCATGGTGTCTCCCCTGCCAGGTTTATTAAGATTTCTTTATTTATGTATTTTTATGCATATGAGGGCTCTGTTTGCATGTATGCCTGCATGCCAGAAGAGAGCATCAGATCCCATTAGATACTTGTGAGCCACCATGTGGTTGCTGGGAAACTCAAGACCTGTAGAAGAGCAGCCACTTAACCACTGAGCCATCTTTCCAGCCCCTACAGTAAAAGATCTTAGAGGCTAAGCCATGTCCCTAGCCGGTACGTAATGTGCACAATCTACTGCCAAACTACGACCTTCACAACATAAGATTTTCAAAGTATCCAAGGCACACACATTTTGGATTTCCAATCAAATGGCCTAATTTAGTAAGGTGTCTTTGACACTTCTACAATTCCTATGTAAAGTAGAAGTTTCCAGTCCAGGCAATTGGGCAAGAAACAGGAAACAGGCCAATTCTTACCTCCTGTGTAGAGAAAGGAGCCAGACAAGCCTCCAAAGTAGATAAGAGCCAAGTGCTCCAGTTTCAGAGTGGACAGGTAGTAGAGGCAAGCGGCACAAACACAGCCCAAGGTATAGAGGAAGACTCCAAATCGAACAACATCTTGGGGCTCCAAAATTCGGTCCACAAGAGTCCTGTCATCACTCTTTTTGTGGTCAATGCCCTTGGAAAAGTCATAGTAAGTGTTGACCAAATTGCCGGCCCCGTGCACAGCCAGGACAACCACTGCACAACCCACCAAGAGCCTGGGATCCAGGACCCCCTGGGATCTGTAGGCCAAGGCACTGCCCAGGGCCACAGGGGTGAGTGAGGCACTGAAGCTCCAGGGCCGCAAGGCCAACACATAGGAGGCGCACTTCTGTCTCCAGGATCGTTGTGTAAGCCTGTCCTGCTCGGGCCAGTCGTTCTCCAGCAGGTCCCTGTCCCCGACCTTGGTCGTCTCTCCTGCCTGGATATTGATCTTCTCCCCCGGGGCCTGCACTTCAGCCATTGAAGCTACACGTGGCTAAAGTCAATTCTAAAAGTGAGCCACTCAAGGGAACCGCCCCAGGACGAAGATAGGCGGGACAGCCTGGCCTGACCTTCCTTTTGGTTCCGCCCGGGGACAGGGCTTGGGAGGCGGTAAAAACTGAAGACACCAGAGAGCAGGCCATGCACCGCAACGGGGCCCAGCGGTGCTGCCCGACCACCTGTCACCTGAGCGAGGAGGCTTGACTGGGATCCCCTTCCGCGTGCCACAACTCAACAACTCGCCTCAATCTGCAACCTCCAGCGGGCCACCGGCGCCGCCATCTTGTGCGTCGGGCTCAGGACGCCGGCCGGAAACCCAGTCCGGCGGCGGGCAGGGCCGGGCGAAGGCCGGACAGGGGCGTGGTCAAGGCCGGATCTCGAGTTCAACAAGTAAATTAAACTTAAGACTCAACATTAGTCGGCCGAGTATTTCAGGGCGTGTCGCCTTGAAATGTACTGGGCCATTTTACTCACTGAAATAAGAAATAAGACTCATTGTGATGCGGAAGATTACCCCAATAAATGCTACGTTGAAAATACTGTGCGCATGTTGGACATGGTGGTGCATTTTTGTGATCCTAGAATTTAAGAGATGACGAGAGGAAGACAGTTTAAGAAAATTGAGACCAACTCAAACTGCATGAGACCCTGCCTCCCTCCACCCCCAACCCCCAGGGTTTCTCTGACAAGTCCTGGCTGTTCTGGAGCTCATTCTATAGGCCAGGCTAGCCTCAAACTCAAGAGATCTGCCCAACTCTGCTGGGATTGAAGTCGTGTGCCACCACCTCCCAGCAAGAAGAGTTTGGAAGAGGGAATGGTTTCGAAAAGAGAAGAAACCGAATAGAAGAGAAGGAGAGAGAAGAGGAGAGGACAGGAGGGGAGGGGAGAGGAGGGGAGGGGAGCAGGCGAGAGAAGGAAAAGAAGAAAAAGTTTGTAAACAGCCAGGAAAAGAAAATATGGTACAATATGAAGGAATATGCACGTATAGCTTTAAGAAAAGGAAGTAGGAAGTTTTCTTTGTGTTAAGATACGAAGACCCACACGATATACTGATTTTTGCTTTGTATTTGGAGACAGGGCCAAGGCTGGTTGTTCAATGGTTAAGAACAGTGGCTGCTCTTCCAGAGGACCTGGGTTTGATCTCAATACTCACAAAGGCAGCTCACATGTCTGTAATTCAGTTCCGGGGATCTGACCTCTAAGGGCACCAGGCATGCACCTGGTCTGTATGCAGGGAGGTCACGGTAGGTATGCAGACAGACAGACAGAACACCTATTCACATACAATAGTAAAAAATCAGGGGCTTACTTGACTTTTTACTACAGCCCAGGCCGCCTGGGACCTGCCAAGGTAGCCCATAATGACCTTGAAATTCTGATCCAGCCTTGCATTGTCCCAACTCCCTGAGTGCTGGGATTACAAGCGTTCACCCACACTTGGTTTTATGTGGATTTATGGGAATTCGGGAACTGAACCTGAGTCCTGTAGAGGAAGCAGCAAGTACCCAACCATGAGTCTTCTCTCCACTCCTTATTTTAAATCTTAAATTTTAAATTAATGTTGTTTTGCTTTTTAAAAACATCTACCTATGGAAGGGGTGCACATGTGCTAAGTCAGAGGACAACTTGCAGGGTTCTGTCCTTCCACCATGTGTGTTTTGGGGTTTGAACTCGGGTCTTGAGGTTTGGTGGCAAGTGCCTTTTTCCCTGTGCCATCTTGCTGAGCCCCTCTTACTTTTTGACACGGCATCAAATGTAGCCTGGAACTCAAGACCCTCCTCTTCAGTTGTCCGAGAGCCAGGATTATAGATGTTAAGTATTTGTTAATAAGGTAAAAGTTCCCAATTAGTTTTTAAATTGTAAAACATTGATAATGTTTCCTATGTATTAAATTGGAAAAATGTCACACATACACAACTATATTTGAGACAGGGCTGAGAAACCTGCCTGACTCTATTTTGAAGGCAGGAGCCATTATGTGTTAAAATTAAGTTTCCATTTACTCTAAGAGCTGAGTTACTATTATCTTTTGGTTTTGTTTTATTTTGTTTGTTTTTGGAGACAGAATTTCTCTGTGTATCTTTGGCTGTCCTGGTCTAGCTCTGTAGACCAAACTGGCCTCAAACTCACAGAGATCCTCCTGCCTCTGCTTGCCTAAGTGCTGGGATTACAGGCTTGTGCTAGGCTTTGAGTTGCTATTCTTAAATCTGTGTTTTGGAGCCTGACACCAACCCATGACCTTGATTTGTTTGTTTGTTTGTTTTTTGTTTGTTTTTAGGCCACCCGGGCCCTCTCTAATTTTTTTTTTTTTTTGAGATTTTATTCTGTGTTTCCCTATTGTCCTATTGTCTCTCCTCTGTAAATCTGCTTTGCTACCACTTGTGATTTTTATTCTTTAAAAGAAGCCCAAGAAATAGATTCAGATCTGCTCTTTAACCTGATTTAGGAGGTATCCCTGGCCAGCTCTTGGGTATAAAACCAAGCTTGCCTCAAATTTGGCTCAAAATTGTGGTAGTGGCCTTATTCTCGATTGGTAGGGATTAACAGGTCTCACTGTGTCACTCTCGTTGGCCTGGGATTCTTATAGATCCTAGAAAAATTGAAGTGATTAAAAAATGCAGACTGTCAGGCAAGTCTGATGTATGCCTTTAAGCCCAGCACTCCAGAGGCAAGAGGATCTCAGTGAGTCCAAGGCCAGCCTGGTCTACATAGTGAGTTCCAGGAGAGTCAGGAATACATAGTGAGATCTTGTCTCAAAACACAGGAAAAAGAAACAAAAAACAAGTTGAAGCTAGGCATGGAGATGAACCAAAGTCAGCATTCCCTCAGGGCCTTGAAGATAGTTCCTACTTGCTAAAAGGAGTCATTCTCCTTATCTCTGGCAAAAGGTATAGCTCTTGTAGTAACATATGACTGTGTGTCTGTTAGCTCTGGGCTCCCTCAGAACCACTCATAAGCCTCCAGCGCAGCTCACAGGCTCACTTCCTGCCAGGTACCCTGGAAACCCATTCATCCTATTCCCCATCACACCCCACCCCACAGCGTTTCTCTATTCTCTCAGGAAATAGCTTTGGCAGGTTGGAATAAACTTTACCTCTCTTCACCTCCTGAGCATCTGTTTTGGTTTTTTTTTTTTTAACTTATTTATTTATATGTATGAGCACTTTATCTGCATGCGTGCCTGCATGACAGAAGAGGGCATCAGATCCCATTATAGGTGGTTGGCAGCCACCATGTGGTTGTTGGGAATTAAACTCGGGACCTCTGCAGGAGCAGATGGTGCTCTTAACCACTGAGCCATCTCTCCAGCCCCTGTTTTGGTTTCTTTGCTGCATGCATTTCATTCAGTTTGAAGCCAGCCTCACCTGGAACTCTACATAGCAAGTCTTAGCCAGGGCTAAGGCATTGCCTTAAAAAAAATTAGACATAATGAAGAACATGCAACTAAGAGAAATAACTTTTTTCACAGTAGTAAATTACCTTAACTTTGTAAAGTGTCAAGACAAAAGATCCTTGGTTGTTCTGGGCTCACTTTGCAGACCAGGCTAGCCTTGAACTCACAGTGATCTGCCTCTGCCGCTGCCTCCCTGAGTGCTGGAATTACAGGTGTTCACCACCACACCCAACTGACAAAAAGGTAGGGCTGGAGGGATTTTAAGGGTTTAAGTGCTCAAAGGTTAAGAGCACTGGCTGCTCTTCCAGAGGTCCTGAATTTAATTTCCAGCAACCATATGATGGCTCACAACCATCTATAATGAAATCTGGTGCCCTCTCCTGGCATGCAAGGCAGGACACTGCATACGTAAAAAATAGATAAATCTTTTGTAAAACATTTTTTTCATTAATAATTAAAAACAACGAAAACAAAGCACAAGTTATACTACAACAAAAAAATGCCAACTAATATGAAATGAGATTTGGGGAAGACTTTCTTTAGACATTACCACCAGTTAGTTGTATAATAAAAAGAACTGTTGAAGCCAGGTGTGGTGGCACACACTTGTAATCCCAACACTCAGGGAGGCAGAGGCAGGCAGATTTCTGTGAGTTAGAGGTCAGCCTGGGTTACAAAGAGAGTCCAGGACAGCCAAGGCTACACAGAGAAGTTGCTGGTTGCTGGGAATTGAACTCAGGACCTTTAGGAAGAGCTGCCAGACCTATTAACTTCTGAGCCATTTCTACAGCCCTAAAAACTTTTTTTTTTTAACTAACTGGGAAACTTCATCTTATTAGCAACTATTTTTTTTTGCATTATCATTATTAATAGCTTCACGTGTTTCTCTTAATATTAATGTATTTAGTATTTCACTCGAATTCCTAATTCAAGGTATTTAGGAGTGCTCACTGTTTATTACAACACTGACAAAAATAAAGATGTAAACAAAAAAAATATGTAAATTTTATTAGAAAAATTTTAACTCTTTTCAATTTATCTTTTAAATTTTTATAAAATTTTAATTTATTTTTATGTAGTGACGCTTGCCTCCCTGTCGGTTTTGTGCACCACGTGTGTGCCTGATTCTGACAGAGGCCAGATTAGAGAGTCAGATCCGCTAGAACTGGATTTACAGGCAGCTGTGAGCCGTTATCTGAGTGTTCTCTGGAAGGACGGACAGCGCTCCTAAGCACTAAGGCATCTATCTCTCTAGCCTGACGCTGAATTTATTTCTGATCCTCCCTCCACCTCCAAAATAGCGGGATTACAGGGGTGCCCTTTACACGGGTGCTGGGGATTGAGCCCACGATTTTCATGCATTTTGGGCAAGCGCTCTCATCCCCAGGTCTGGCTATTGTCTGTCTGAAAAAAATTGTTTTTCAAGACACGGTTTCTTGGAGTAGCCTTGGCTGTCCTGGACTCACTTTGTAGACAGGCTGGCCTTGAACTCACAGCGAGCCGCCTGCCTCTGCCTCCCTGAATGTTGGGATTAACTGAAAGATTTTTTTTTAAGGATTTTTGCCTTAAAATATTTTATTCAAAGTAGTTCTTGGTGATGGTCTCTCGAGAATGAACTCAAAAGTAAGGCAAATTGGGGGCAGTGAGAATAACTAAAACTTGCAAATGCGTATTATATTTTACAAAGGAGAAAGCACGAATCCCTCAGTAAACCGATTCCCAATATATGTCTTCTGCAGTAATTCTAGGGCAGAAGACAAACAGCCCTTTCTCGGCATCATGTCTAGCGCGTTCCCGACCCTCCGACCCGCTCTCCACTACACGGAGGCTCCACAGTGGCACATTTCGTACGGAGGGGGAATCCTAGCAGCGACGAGCCGGATGTGTGCGTGGA